TAAACCTCGGCAAGCAGCTGCAGAAACTGTCGGTAGTCTCGCTGCAAACACCGAAAGGCCCGCAAAGTCCATGCACCTCGCATTGTTGCCGGGGCCGAGACCAGAACATGTTCCATTCCTGGGAAGAAGGCAACCAGGACTCCTGCTTGACCTGCCCAGAAAGGTCCATCACAAACCTTGATATGGTGTTAGAAGTGGTGTACACTGAATAGGTGAAGTAGCTCTCGTTCTCATTGTCCACATATTTGAAATTGTAAATATAGCTCAATCTCATTTCAGGGACCAAAGAGAAAATTTTCGTCTGATTGTCCCACACCCCACTGGTCCAGTACTCCTCAGACCTATTCCACCATATGTAGTACTGACTGGATGGATCGAGCTGGAGAGAGAACAAACCTGTCGAAGGATCCTCGGTATTCTTCCATGATGTCAAGAGCTGACTCGTGTTTTTGCGCTTGTCGATCCCTAATTTCATGCCAGGAAGCCAGGTGTGCGTCGGGTGATTAAAGCTCTGCCACAGAGTCATGGAAGAATTTGGCGCGTCTTTGAGAGTGAAGTTACCGTCGTCCCCAAGAACCGCTACCATGGAGCTCGACCCAGATGAAGAAGCACTCAGATTCGTGGACCAAACGGCGACTTGGGAGTTGTTGACAATCACAAGATTGCCACCCGAGATCTTCAGCTCAGTGGAGTACCTGTCGGTGACAGGGTTGTCTCTGTTCGCGACCCAGACGATGGTTGGCACGCTGACTTTGTTGTACCAGATGCCTATGTAGGAGTGCGGGGAGTTCCCCGGTGTGAAGAAGCCGAGCTTGAAGTTGCCGCCGGAGGAGATTAAGGTTTGGTTGCCAGAGAGGGATTGGTTGGCGGAGATGGTGTCGGAGCCAAGACAGAGGTGGGTGGTGCAGAGAGATATGCAAAGCAAGAAACTTGGGAGCGTGAACGACCATGCACTACTGTTTCTTCTATCCATGGCTGGACGATACAAGGTTCGAGCGGACAGGTTTAGAAACACAATGCACAGGGGGCAGTATATATAGCTGTTTGTGGTCAGAGTGAGGGCGAGGTAAGAGATCTCAAAGAAGAAGGGGTCAAGAAACGCGCAAAGTATTATGTGGAAACTTCAACCGAGACTCGTGCATTTTCATCGAGTACGTAGATAGAAGCATTTAAGCTGGCACCATACGATTCGTCGTGTTTAAGCTCGAATGCCGAAACCAATGGACCAGGATGGGCACATCCAAGAGTGAAGAAGACGCTACTGGTGCAACTTGGAGAAGTCCCCGTCAACCAGTGAAATAACATGCAAGTAATCTGAGCAGGGAGCACTCAAACTCAACATCGTACATTTGAGTGATCAAGCAAGACTTAGAACATAGGCAGACTGGACGTAGCAAGAACACAGTTTCACCGGTTCTAGTCAACAACAAAGGAAGAAAACCAAGTATCAAAGTGATTCTTACGTTGGATAGCTGGACCAACAAGATATTATTTTCACGATGCATGGTCTACTTTTCTTAGTATCCCAAACTCTTGTCTAAGCTAGTCTTGAGGTCAGTATCCTCAACAAAATGCCCCCGTTCCACGGTAAGCCCTAGATTACCGTGTCGGTTCATATATATGTAACATCGTGGTCGTACGTCTTTATCGGAAAAACCTTATAGACTGGGTCTTGGCCACATATGATGGCGTGAAGAGACCTCTGCCTGGACTTGGAGCGATTGATACTTTCTGTTGCGCCTATCATACCTGTCAAATGGTTGGGTCAGGTAAGATTTGAGTCGAGTCGAAAATGATCCGACCCATTTAACCCGTTTTGATCTATTTCTATATAATACAATTCTAGCGACCCAGATCCTTAATACTAAAAGACTTCAATATTAAATCCAAATTAAAAAAAAAATTCTTATAAATTTTTAAAAATATATATTGCTAAAAAATTGTGATTTTTTAATATTTATCTTACCTTTTCTTTTTCTTTATTTTTTTCTTCTACGTCCAATGACTGGCTGGCGATGAATGGTGACCAGTGGCCGTTGGTGATCGGCAATCGTCCAGTGACGATCGACGATCGGCTGGCAACCGACGACGACTGACAATTGTCGACCTGCCGGCGGCAAGCGACAATCGACGACCAACGACCGGTGGTGATTGGTGACGAATGACGACCGGCGGTGTCCGGTTGCCGGCGACCCTTGCCTGATTTTTCAGAAAAAAGAAAAAGAAAAAGAAAGATAAAAGAAAAAAATTAAAAATTATGAAAAATCAGAAAATTGAAAGAAATAAAAAAAATGACTTGTTATAACTCACTTAGCTAACCCATTTATGACTCATTTAAAATACATTTAAGACCAATTAAGTTGTTAACTAACACATTTATAACTCACTTAAACTTGTTTTCATAACATAAAATCAACCCATTTATGACTCACATCATTAAATATTAGTTAAAATGTGGGTTCTCAACCATTTTGCTATCTCTACTCCCATTATAATCTTTTACTGTTTTATCTATTCCCGTACACTTGCAACTTTCCTTTCAGGATTACTGTCACCAGTGGTCCTTATATTTTGTCCAAAAATCAAAAACTTCCTCTACTTTTTTTTTAAAGCATTTATCTATTATTTAGAAAGTGTCACAGTTAATCCGTATGTTATACTTTTTTTCTTGCAAGTCAAGACATGGATGCCAAAGCACATGTGTCTAGCTATATTCTGCTCACATAATTGCGTGTAGACAACATAAACATTAAAAAAAATAAAATTGAGAGATAGCTCCATTACGGCCACCATAATCACGAGCTCCAGCTCTAAGCTAGCGGCGGCCATGGCCATTAAGCTCAAGCTCGCAGATGGCCATGACCCTAAGGTCTATTCGAGCTGCAAAGCTTGAGCCATGGCCACTTGATCTTTGAGCTCACGGCACTGCCACATGAGCTTCAAGCTTAAAGCAGCCATGTTCACTTGAGTTTTGAGCCATGAAGCTCGCAGCCATAGCCACTCAATTAGGAGTCCTGAGCGGGTACGAATGATAGTTTGTATTGTTATGGGCATTAGATTTTGTGGGTTTTTTTATATGGTAATATTTGAAAAAAGAAAAAAAAATCACATTAGCAAAAAAAAAATGAAAAATCCACGTTTTTTTAGGTTGACAAAAAGAAAATTTCCATTTTAAAATAGGGTTAATACCATGAAAAACCCTAAACTGGTACACTTGTGACAGATTTATCCAAAACTATTTTTTTATCATAAAAAACCCCAAATTAGTACATTTATGATAATTTTACCCCAAACTATTTTCTTGACCACCAAAAATCCTAAACTAGTACACCTGCGACAATTTTACCCCGAACTAATTTTTTAATATTATTATTTTTTATTTTTTCGAATTTTTTTATTTTTTCTTTTCTTTTCTTTTTCCTTTTTTTTTTCTTTCATCTTCAACCTCTGGCCGGTCACCGGTCCGGCGATCAGCCGGAGGCGGGGGCCGGCAAGGTCGGCCCCGCCGGCCGCTAGCGTGGCCGACCTCACCGGCAACTGGCAAGGTCGGCCTTGCCCCGCCCCTGACGAGGTTCGACCTCGCTAGTTGCCGGCGAGGGGTCGTCCTCGCCGTCGCTGGCGAGGTTCCTCCTCGCCGCTTTTGGGCGAGGCTGACCTCGCCAGTTGCGGCGGGGCCGAGCCTCGCCAGCAACGGCGAGGACTCGCCAGCAACGGCGAGGACGACCCCTAGCCGGCAACTGGCGAGGTCGAACCTCGCCAAGCAACGGCGAGGTCGACCTCGCCGTCGGCCGACGGGGCCGACCTCGCCGGCCAGAGGTTAAAGATAAAGGAAAAAAAAAAAGAAAAGGAAAGGAAAAAGAAAAGATAAGAAAAACTAAAAAAATTCGAAAAAAAACAAATAATATTAAAAAATTAGTTCCGGGTAAAATTGTCACAGGTGTACCAGTTTGGGATTTTTGGTGGTCAAAAAAATAGTTCGGGGTAAAATTGTCACAGATGTACCAGTTTGGGGTTTTTTATGGTCAAAAAAATAGTTCGGGGTAAATCTGTCACAAGTGTACCAGTTTAGGGTTTTTCGTGGTATTAACCCTTTAAAATATAGGTTAATGTCACACTAGAAATTCCATCGCCGGACCGACAAAGGGACGACCAATGGCACTTTCTAAAAGTGCAAGGAACGGTTTTGAATTAGAAAAAATTAAAGGAATGATTCTGATTTTTGAGCAAAAGTAGAGAGACCAACTGTTATTAAATCCGCAATTTACATCACAGTGATGAAAAGCTTGATTTGCAGTAGCACAACCAAATGATGATAGAAGCCGATTAGACTTTCTTATTGGAGAAGCCGATTAGACTTTTTTGATTGCTGAAGCAAGTTAAGACTTCATAGGGGCACCCTCGCACCTGAGAAGGATTAACGATCAGATGGTATTGAGAAAATAACTGCGGTAAGAAAAGTGAAACGATTCGTCAAATCAAAAGTGTTTAATGGACTGTAATATAGGAAAAGGAAAGAAAAGGTGGTAATGGGAAAGGGACAACAAATGAGGGAAAGCCTGGAAAAAAGTGACGGGATTATGGTGCTGCAAATGCCCAACTGGATTAGCTTTGATATGAATAGATTATGAACTGAAAATCAAATCTGGGCCTTCAAAAACAGGCTCCTTTAAGATACATTGAAGTGGATTTGGACTTGTATTTAGTCCACGCTGCAATGGAAAATACTATTTGAATCAACCTGAATGAAATGAGAACCCAATCAATTTCCCACCAGAACAAACAGTGGAGAATTTTAACAAGTAACGTTGAGATACTGAATTTGGTTTACAAAACTTTTAAGCAATGTCACAAATATTAGTGATTAATTAATAAACAAATTAATGCTGGCACCCAACAGAAGTCTCATCCATCACTTTACAAATCAGTTTTGCTAAAAGGTTCGAGTATTCTATAGCATTACTCATATTCGAAACATAGAGCGAGGAGGCGATCCACGGAAATTTGACTTTAGAAGAGATGTAAATGCCATGCAAACAACAGGGCGGGCATTAACATCCTACAGCTCCAACAAAAGGATCTGCTGGTAATACATACATTGGCTGGAAATTATCATGACATAAATCCCAGTCCTAGCAAGTCATAGTTTTAAGGGCGGTTTTCGTACCATGACTCACTATATAAACAAAGCAAAAAGCAAGTAGAAAGAGGAGTTTATACTGAGAAATGCCAAGCATCAAAGCCCGCTACGCATGCAATGAGGGCAGATTTGAGAACCATGCGAGACACCAGCTGAAATCCAAGCTAGGATATACCAATACGTAGATCCCAATGTCAGAAAGTGGAGATGACAGTTTTCGATGCTAATTAACAATATCGCCTTGGATCTCAAAAAGCAGAGAAAAGATCATTATTAAGACTTAAGGGTCCTTACAACTGGTCTGGCCTGGCATGGCACATGATCCAAGCTTGCTTGTATCTATATGTAACAAAAATAGCTAGGGGAAAAAGCCCCAAGAAAGCCAATCCCCAAATGCTGAGATTCTTTCTTGACTACAGAAAAAGCAGAAGAGGATATGCATTACCTAACTGAAGCACTACTTGTCCAAAGCATTTGTCTTATATTCCTCAAGACTCGGACTTTGTTGAAGATGAACTATTTTGTTTCTGCAAGGAAGCAGTTGAGGTATGACTCTTCGTCTGGGAACTCTGGTTAGACGATGATGACTCTGTGAAGAAAACTACATGCTCCTGATTATCAAGAAATAGTTGAAGGGCTCTCGGTATCTGGGGCAGGTTCACATCCAACACCCCCTCGAGTATTTGAACAACCTGCCCCATCGATGGCCTGCAAGTTTCCTCATCTTGGACACACCAACAAGCGACTCTGCAAATCCTCAATAGCTCTTCAGGATCAGCGTTTGTCTCCAAGTTTGGGTCCAAAAGATCAAGCAGGTCGCCTCCTTCGGTTATCTTACTAGCAGCCCATGTTGGGAAGAACTTGATGGCCCCATTTTCTGATTGCTCCGAGTTCCTCCTTCCTGACACAAATTCAAAGAGCATCATTCCATAGCTATAAACATCAGCTTTTGCTGTTATGGCCACTCCGGAGATCCACTCCGGCGCAAGATACCCTCTTGTGCCTCTCATGGTCGTCAAGACCCTGCTGAAATCTCGGCCAACAAGCTTTGCCAGGCCAAAATCTGCCACTTTTGGACAGTATTCAGAATCTAGAAGGATGTTCTCTAGCTTGATGTCGCAATGTATGATGCAGTCTCTACACTTCTCATGGAGATAAGCCAGACCTCGAGCCGTTCCCAAAGCAATTTGGTACCTCGTTTTCCAATCCAAGGTCTTTGAGTCCTTGGCATGAAAGAGATGATATTCTAAGGAACCATTTGGCATGAAATCATAGACCAACAGCCTTTTGTCACCTTCAGAGCAGAACCCACGAAGCCTGACAAGATTCACATGCTGGATGGTGCCGATTGTGCTTACTTCTGTTCGGAATTGCTTCTCTCCTTGGCTTATGCTCTCAAGCTTCTTGACTGCTATGTGACTTGAATCAGGTAATGTTCCTTTGAAAACTGAACCAAACCCGCCCCCACCCAACTTCTCTGAGAAATTCTTTGTTGCTACTTGCAAGTCCCGGTATGCAAAGGCTATCAGTGAACCCTCCACTGTCTTTGTTGTCACAGTTGCCCTTCTCCTCCATCTCCAAACGCCAAACAAGACAATGGCTAATATCGCTACCGCGGCGCTAACAGACCCTGCAACTATCGCAGTTATGTTGCGCTTCTTGCTTGGATCCTCAACGTCTGATGCAGCAAGCCGGAGATAGAAGCTTTTTGCAGTGGTATCACCTTGTGTGAGCTGTTGCGCATTGAAGAGATCCCCAATCCAAATTGAGCAGGCATTATCCTCGAAAGCATAAGCGGTGCAAGAGCAATTGTCCAAACAAGCAGCTTGGCATTCCTTATCGCTCCCAACATCTGAAGATTGGGAATTATCTGGCAATTTCATGTTAGACATTGGCAAGAAACGGTCTTTCTCCGCATTCGAAGCAGTTGCCGCACAATTCAAGTCCAAATTCCTCTTGCAACAGCTAGACCAATCCCTCAGATTCCAATCCCTCGGAGAGCTGATGCTAAACCTCGGCAAGCAGGTGCAGCAATTGTTGGTACTCTCGCTGCAAACACTGAAAGGCCCACAAAGTCTATGCACCTCGCATTGTTGCCGAGGCTGAGACCAGAACAAGTTCCACGCCTGGTTAGAAGGCAACCAGGACTCCTGCTTGATCTGCCCAGAAAGATCCATCACAAACCTTGTTATGGTGTTGAAGGTGGGGTACACTGAATAGGTGAAATAGCTCTCGTTATCATTGTCCACATATTCGAAATAGTAAATATCCATCACAAACCTTGATCTCATTTCAGCGACCAAAGAGAAAACTTTCGACTGATTGTCCCACGTCCCACTGGTCCAGTAATGCTGAGACCTATTCCACCATATGTAGTACTCACTGGATGGCTGGAGCTGGAGAGAGAACAAACCTGGCGAGGGGTCCTCGGCGTTCTTCCATGATGTCAAGAGCTGACTCGTGTTCGTGCGCTTGTCGATCCCTAATTTCGCACCAGGAAGCCACGTGTGCGTCGGGTGATCGAAGCTCTGCCACAGAGTCACGGAAGAATTCGGCCCGTCCTTGAGAGCGAAGTTGCCGTCGTCCCCAAGAACCGCCACCGTGGAGCTCGACCCAGATGAAGTACTCAGATTCGTGGACCAAGCGGGGACTCGGGAGTCGTTGACCATAACAAGATTGCCACCCGAGATCTTCAGTTCAGTGGAGTACCTGTCGGTGATGGGGTTGTCTCTGTTGGCGACCCAGACGATGGTTGGCACTCTGACTTTGTTGTACCAGATGCCTATGTAGGAGTACGTGGAGTTACCCGGTGTGAAGAAGCCGAGCGTGAAGTTGCCGCCGGAGGAGACTAAGGTTTGGTTGCCGGAGATGGACCGGTTAGCGGAGATGGTGTCGGTGTCGGAGCCAATACAGAGGTGGGTGGTGCAGAGAGATAAGAAGCAGAGCAAGAAGCTTGGGAGTGTGAACAGCCATGGACTGCTGCTGCTTTTTTACGTAGCTAGCAAGGATCACCTAAAGAGCGCTGAATAGGTGATCTAAAATCATTTTTAATAATTTATGCGGAAACAAAATAAATCACAGAAGAGTCTGAATAAAATTCAGATTCTAGACAGATTATATAGACGTTGCTCTTGATGTGCAGAGTGTAAAGTAAGAGATAAGGGATAGAAAATCTGTACACGAGTTTATAGTGGTTCGGCTTATAGCAAGCCTATGTCCACTCTCCCACGCTTACAGCCTACCGGCTGGATTTCACTATGTAATCAAGAGGAATTACAACTTCTGAGTGTTAACACTCTTGTGTATGATAGAACTCTCTATCTCACACAATCACTCTTACAAAGTGTTCCTCAAGATCTTAATGTTTGGCTCAGAACGACAAGAGAAATGATTGGAGTATGCTCAGACTTTGGACTTGTTGATTCTTGATTCTATCCATCCTTCTGCTGCTCGTTGATCCTCTTAAATACTCCTCTACTAGCCATTGGACAGCTTTCAGAGGATCATCTTCCAATCTTCACTTTGGACAGATTTGTATAATAAGGATTGAGTAGCCGTTGGATGACATATTCTGAATCCCGCTGATTCTGGTCGCCCATACAATCAGAATCTTAGTTTCCATAAGTAGAGCTTTGTTCGTTGAAATGCATTCTTGTCGTGATGTTTGATTGTCAATCAATTTGATTCAGATTGAGACAATTAGAACATTCCTTCTGTGAAATCCATGCCAGATCACTAGCTGTTGTGTTACGTTCTGAATGCTGCGTATGAAGAAATTCTGCGTCTGCATCAGAAGAATTTCTACGTCTCGCATCTCGCATCTCGAATAGCTTCGCTTCGCATCTCGCATCCGAATAACTCTCGCATCCGAATCTCGTAACCTAGATTATGTGGGTCTTCAAAAACATACTTGACAGTTTGAAAAGTCTGAATAACTTTCTTCTGAGCTTCCAGATTATACAGACCTGGAATAAATTTGTTCAAAATAAGTATCAGATTTACAATAACATAGAAGGTTTTGTCAACTTCAAAATCAATAGGAGTTTTCCTCAACACTTTTCCTATCCATGGCCGCGCAAGTTCCTCCTGGGACAGGCTATCAGATATTTATACTCGAAGCAGCAAACACGTCCGAGAATTGAAATGGTTCGGCTTGAGCCGTGTCCACAGAAAGAGAGAGAGAGAGAGAGGGAGAGATGAAGAACGGGTCAAAGATCAAGAAACACGATCAGGGTCAGAGGGATCGCTAAGCGGAGGTAAGCCCAAGAAGAGAAGCAAATAGGAAGCTGATCACAACAAGTCAAGAAAATGAAGGGGAGCCCCTTCGGTTCTCTCCGCCCCTTCACCGAATGGAAAGTCAAGAAAGGGAGATGAAACTCTGCCACTCGGATCCTCGGAACGTGAAAGGAGAGTTTCGAGAGATTCGGGGGTAAAGACTCCGATGTCCGCGGCCGCTTTTGGCCCGGGTCAAAATTTTCTCATAACCATCATAACACGCTGCACGACAAACGTAGCTAGAAAACATGTGACGACAACGACAGAAGAAACTATTGTTTACGTCGGCCCCTCCTCCTTCGAGTCGTCGACGGATGATCTAGCCACATGAACCACCTCCCATTTATACGTACTTTTCTTGTGCCACCTGTACCCAATTTAAATATTGTGCGCCCCTTCAAGTGCGGTGCTTTTTCTTTCCTTGTGTCCGAAGAACAAAGACAGTGGACGAAATCAAACAGATAATCATGCCGACTTCTCGCGTGCTCTGTACTGAATTTCACAGTTTGGGGTGACCCCGATTCGGGTCATTGAATTTGGTGAACCAGACCCGCGTTCGAGCCGTTCAATCTTTTTGCCGTGATCAAGGGGAAACGGTCCGAGGCAGATCAATGCCCAACTTTGAACGCCATGCTTTTTATGGATTGGAAGCCTTATTTTCTTGTTGTTGAAAGGGTCAGCTCACGCGGGTCGTCCTCTGGTCCATTTTTCCTTTGTTTTTCTCTCTCTGGCAAGAGGCAGACCCGTCGTTTTCCGTCCACGCACGACGTAGACGCTTTCGGCTGGTGCGGAGCAAGTGGGTTGGCTCGGTGACAGATAGAATTCATTAATGCCGCTAATCATGTAATTACTAGGACTCGCACCGGTCCTCTTTTATGAAAATGAAAACTCCTGCCTTTTGTCTCTATGCTTTCAAGTGTTTTTTAATCGTCTAATGAAGTTCCATTATGTTAAACAAATTCCTCTTATGTCAAATCAAACCAAATTCAGCTATCGTGACACCACTAGTATATGATGTGGATAAAATTTAACCAATCTGCACACTAATATGGATGTCGCCGTGAGAAGATCTAACCAATACGAACAATATTTCTAATTGTAACGATCGACACGACCAGTTTGATTTGCTAAAAATTAGAGAAGGAGAGACACGAGCGCGTGATTGCGCAATTTATAAACTGCATGACCCCATTAACAGAACATATGCTGAACTTGCACATTCTTAAAATCTGCACCTTGAAAAGAGAAATTGAAAGAATCGGTTGGGTGGTACAAAGTACCAAGCCTTTTGTCCCAAAATAGGCAGGCTTAGTTAAGGTGCCAGATTAGCTATCTCCGTGACTACAACGTCAAAAAGCCGTCACAACACAGTGTCATGATCATGGGGACTTTGCTTTGCTAAGGTCTCACCAATGAATTTGTTTACTCAGGTCAACCAAAACTCAAGATCGAACACGACTAGAAACATAGGCAGACTGGCCATTGGTAAAACAAGGAAGATACTTTTGACCAGTTTTAGTCAAACAGAGAAGGAAGAAAAACCAAGTGTCAGTCACTAGGATGTTGGAGAGTTGGGCCAACAACATTGACTATGACGCTGCTCCATTTGCCTTAACATGACCAATTCCATCTATTACCTTCAAACCCAATAGAAACTGCTTTCACGCAATAGCTCAAAGGCTTCAATCCCGTCTTACAAAAATCGCTAAGGACGACCCTACTCTCACTGGCTAATTGCAGGTCATGAAACATTTGATAGAGAACAAACTGCTGTAGTGATTTTAAAGTGCACTTTGCTCGGTCTCACCAATGAATTTTTTCCTCAATTCAACCAAAACTCAAGATCAAGCACGACTAGAACATAGGCGGACTGGTCATTGGTAAAACAAGGAAGATACTCTCGACCAGTTTTAGTCAAACACTGAAGGAAGAAAACCCAAGTGTCCGGTCTTTAGGATGTTGGAGAGTTGGACCAACAACATTGACTATGACGCCTACTCCATTTGCCTTAACATGACCATTTCCTTCTATTACCTTCATCTCCCCTAGGTAAACCCAATAGAAACTGCTTTCACGCGATAACTCAAAGGCTTCAAACCTAGCTTACAAAATCGCTAATGACGACCCTGTTCCCACTGGCTAATTGCAGTTCATGAAACAATTGATAGAGAACAAACTGCTGTAGTGATTTTAAAGTGCACTTCTCTTTTTCTATATCTCCGGTTTTTGTACATTGAATGAGCCTTCAAAATCTCGAAACTTTTGATGGACCACATAAAGATGAACATCTAGAAGCATTTGAGAGCATAAAAAATTCTAGCCACATTTTCATCTTTGAAAGCTTTACTAGAGTTAAAAAAACTCTGGAAAAAGTCTCAAGAACCAAGCAGAAGGTACCTGTTCTTAGCATGTGAGAAATGAAAGATGCAAAGATGGAGAACTGCATAGCGACCCAAGTGGCAGTCAGTTGCGACTGGGATGCGGCTTCCAAATGAGGGATTCAGACAAGGTGAATGATCTCTTCCATGAATGTGAATGAACATTTAAGGGTTGCAATAGTTACATCATTTGATCAGCAATCCTGAGCCATTTTGATCTTAATGGCACTGAGAATGATCCAAGCTAGAAGGATCACTTTTGACTACAATACAGATTTGGATAAGTAACTTCACAAGTGAATTTTCGAGTCCGACTTGCTGAAGCAGGAACCACTAAATAAGCATGCTCACAGAAAGTGCCACAAGATCAATCAGCATAGATATCCTCCATAATTTTTGCACCACGCTGTCTTTGTCTCAATGCACTCGCTCTACTCATATAAACACCAGAAACTCCAACAGTACCACATTTTCGTCCTTTTCTTGTAGAATCAATCAAATCATTGACTTCGACTGAGGCTTCTGCCCGAACAACCCTTACATGTTCCTTCCCACTTTCTTTGCCTTTATGCTGTACTCTCTGGAATGTTTGGTACACTCCGTCGCAGTGGCCAAAATAGTATGAGGGATCAATGTAGCAAGATGATGATGAAACAATGCCCCTCATGTTAATAGGTTGGACAAGTTGTACAAATTCATGAAGCTCCATATAACAAGAGTGATTGGAATATGGAACAGATAAATTTCTGGATGCAACCTTTCTTCCACAGAAGCAACCTCATGTGCTTTCTTATTGTAGTATGACCTTGCTAGGGAATCAAAGAAATTCTCATTTCTATCCAGTGGCTTTGAGGCCCACGGAAGACCAGAAGGCATGATTCCTATGGTCGGATGCATCTTATTTAATCCCTTTAAAGTATTCAAGGTAAAGCTATAGCGAGGAACAGCTCGGACTCTGGCGAGAGAAGTTTTAGTTGTGAATATTTCATCAAAACCAAGCATATGCATCGTTTGCAACCGTTCTGGCCACACCCAAATCTTTAAGTAAAAAAATCAAAATACCGGAGTAAGCAAAGCACGTCAAAGAATGATGCAGCAATTTTCTTCCTCGTATAACAGTAAATTAATATGCCTGATATCTGTTATAACAATTCGATCGAAGATAAGTCATATATGTTTTCTCTATTATGACAATTAACTATTCAACAGAAGAGGAATGAATAAATGTTCCTAGAATGTCAGGCCAGACATGTTAAGAAATATGCTTACCGTGTTTTTCTCTGCAACATGGTCTCAAGTTTGATTAGATACTGGAACTAAAATTATAGGTAGCAGATGAAGCAAGTTAATGCCATATTGTACCCAAAAAGCATTCAAAATGCGTAATGCACTGGTAAATCATCTTTTATGGACTCAATACTCAACCATGTGCAGATCATGTGAATCAGTTCACTTAATGCATTTTGAATCAATAAAGTGAAACGAATTTGATGGTCAGTATTATTTATTCAATCTGATGGATCGCCAAAGTAAAATCAAGTTATTTTACAACGGTGTGCTTACAAGAGAGCATCTTTGACATACCTTTATTTTGAGCACCCGGGTAATGTGAACCAGAAGATCTTCTTTGCCCAATGTGTCGATCCCAATGATGACATGGTGCTTAGGATGAGAAGCGATGATATCTACAACCTGCAACCAGGTTTTAACAAAGTCAAAGCTATGAGAAAACTATTCTAAAAGTATGAATAAATAATGTCACGACCTCTCAACACAATATCAGAGAACCTCACACACATGGGGTTTATAGGAAAAATACATCTTAGGCATTTCTTATGGAAATGAGCACTGAGGCGGAATTTCTTATGACTTGAAATTATTCTGTGGAAGGGCTTGAAACAGCAGATAGACACAAGCTGTTTAAAAAGCTCATGCACTTCAATGACCTTTCTCTCCTAAACAAACAATCACTATCCACTAAGAACCCGAAAGGATCATATATCATGTGCAGAAGCTCAACTATAGCCAGTATCTGAATAAAGGTTGACAAACCATGACCGTTCTCTTAATAATCAGTTGATTTCTACACAAGAGATTCCAGAAATTGATACTTCAAAAAGCTTCACAAACTAAGGATGGGGCAGTGATGAAAACCATGTTAACCAAGCAACGACATGTACAGGCTGGAAAGAAACAGGGCAGCTACTCTTTGCAAGAAACAAGCGAAAGATATGGAAATCAGTACATAGAACAAAACCAGAGCACCTGCTGAGCAGCATCTCTACGACAAGGAAAAGAATAGGAAGGATTGCAATAGGTATTATCCAGATACAGTGCGTTCACTCTGCTTCCATTAAGGGCCTTAACGAGCATGTCCCGCGACCTGTTTGCCTTCTCGCTCGTCGTCTCCCAGCGGAAATCTCCGGTATAAAGCAAGCTCCCAAAGTCGCCGCTAAACAAGTACATGACCGCACCTACCCGAAAACGAACCCATCAACCAAAACAGCCAAAAACCCTTCTTCAAAAGGCAATCCAGCAATCAACACAACAATTCAATCGCGGCCTGGACGACCCCATTCGGGAATTAAAGCAAGCAGGGGAGGAGCGACGAGCACGGCGCGGTTACCGGGGCAGTGGTGAGCGTCGAGGGGCATGACGCGGACGAGGGTGTCGGAGGCGGAGGAAGGGGAGAGGAGGG